CAACAAGTTGAAAACACAAAATGTCGTTTGTGTAATATTAGTGAGGAGTCTGTACAGCACTTGTCTTCTGGATGCAGTAAAATAGCCGGGACCAGATACCTAGAAAGACATAATAACATGGGAAAAGTAGTGCACCAGTTGGTATGCCTGAATAAGGGCCTCCTTGACACATTTACCCCCCACCACATGTACGTTCCAAAAGCTGTATTAGAGAATAACACCACCAAGATATACTGGGACTTTACAGTAGAAACAGATATAGGAGTAGAACATAATAAACCCGATATGGTAATATGGAATAAACCTGAAAAAACCGCCATCATAATCGACTTCTCAGTACCGCAGGATTATAACGTGGCTAAAGCCTATGCAGATAAGATAAACAAGTACGCTGCACTTTCTCAGGAAATAAAAGCAATCTGGGAACTGCGGAAGGTGATTATAGTACCGTTAATAATAAGTGCCAATGGACTTGTGCACAAAATGACAAACCAACATATCAAAGAACTAAACCTCCCGAACAACACCATAATGTGGATGCAAAAAGCAGTTGTGCTTGGTACCGTCGGAATTATTCGAAGAATTGTCTCACCTTATTGACAATATTCGTCGTGCCCTTGGCTGGTTACAGCCCGGACAGGACTAGAACTACCACTAACAGTGTGAGGAAAAAAAATAAAAAATATATATATATATATATATATATATATATATATATATATATATATATATATATATATATATATATATATTTGTTTTTTCTTTTCTTTGACCTCTCAATATATATTTTATTTTTTTTTCTTGGCTTTAGGTCAGGTAAAATTAGAAAAACGTTTTTTATATTAAATATTTCATGACGTTTCGACCTGGTAGGTCTTTATCCTTATTACTTGAACGTAGATTGTTTACTTATTACAACTTATCATTTTCTTTCTAAAATCTTAGCGAAGAAAATATATCCAAATTGGTTTCCACACACATAACACAAAACTATCAATAAAGTCGTCACAATTTTTGCACAGAGACATATACATTTAATGGATTTTACAGCACTGAAATCCATTAAATGTATATGTCTCTGTGCAAAAATTGTGACGACTTTATTGATAGTTTTGTGTTATGTGTGTGGAAACCAATTTGGATATATTTTCTTCGCTAAGATTTTAGAAAGAAAATGATAAGTTGTAATAAGCAAACAATCTACGTTCAAGTAATACAATTTTGATAAAACCCTCTACCAGGTCGAAACGTCATGAAATATTTAATATAAAACCGTTTTCTAATTTTCCTGACCTAAAGCCAAGATAAAAATTAAATATATATATATATATATATATATATATATATATATATATATATATATATATATATATATATATATATATATATATATATATATATATATATATATATATATATATATATATATATATATATATATATATATACAGGGTGTTTCAAAACAAATGCGAATTTTATGGAAGCATTACTGTTATGAAAACACACTTTCTGGTAATTTTTCACCTTTTAAAATGAGTAAATGAGTAAATAAGTTTATATATATATATATATATATATATATATATATATATATATATATATATATATATATATATATATATATATATATATTATTAAAACAAATGCGAAAAACTTCAGGGGGTGATTCCTTGTTCAAAATAGTAGGGTAGTTGCTTCATAAACGTTGAGTCAAAAGTCAACCATTAGGGAGATATTGCGGTACAAAGATGGCGGAAAAATAATGTTTTTTTATTTTTATCTTGAAAACGAAAGAGATAGACTAATCAAAATTTTATGGAAGCATTACTGTTATGAAACACTTTCTGGTAATTTTTTCACTTTTTAAAATGAGTGGAAGGGGTTGAAATAAACTACCCCTATCATTCTTGTTAATGAAATTTAAAGAAAAATCTTATCAAACACATGCAAATAAAAATAATTTTGATAGTTTAGTTTATTTAGAAACTTTTTATCTCTGTGTTGTTTTTGATAAAACTCACTGATTTGAAATTAAAAATAAAATGTAAAAGCATTACATGTCAGGACAAAAAACATTTTTAGATAAAGAATCTAGTGGGCAGCTGTAATTTTTTTAGGAAAAAATCTAGTCGGCCGCTGTCACTTTGTAGGATGTTTCTAATATTGTTTTATTTGACATTACCCTACTGCAATACGTTATTATCTAGATTATTATTATTATCATTATTATCACTAGATTCTTAATCTAAAAATATTTTTAGTCCTGACATGATAATGCTTTACATTTTATTTTTTAATTTCAAATCGGTCAGTTTTATAAAAAAAATACAAGAGATAAAAAAGTTTCCAAACAAACTAAACTATCCAAATTAATTTTTTTGCATGTGTTTGATAAGATTTTTCTTTAAATTTCGTTAACAAGAATGATAGGGGTAGTTTATTTCAACCCCTTCCACTCATTTTAAAAAGGTGAAAAAATTACCAGAAAGTGTGTTTTCATAACAGTAATGCTTCCATAAAATTTCATTAGTCTATCTCTTTTCGTTTTCCAGATAAAAAATAAGAACATTATTTTTTCGCCATCTTTGTACCGCAATATCTCCGTAATGGTTGACTTTTGACCCAACGTTTATGAAGCAAACTATCCCTTTATTTTGAACAAGGAATTACTTTGACTTTTTATATCGCATTTGTTTTAATATATATATATATATATATATAATATATATATATATATATATATATGTATATATATATATATATATATATATATATATATATATATATATATACAATATATATATATATATATATATATATATATATATATATATATATATATATATATATATATATATATAATATATATATATATATATATATATATATATATATATATATATATATATATATATATATATATATATATATATATATATATATATATATATATATATATATATATATATATATATATATATATATATATATATTATTAAAACAAATGCGAGAAAACTTCAACTTATATATATATATATATATATATATATATATATATATATATATATATATATATATATATATATATATATATATATATATATATATATATATATATATATATATATATATATATACCGAGGCGCAACTATCGATAGTAAAAGGATGGTAGAAGGCTTTTTTTCAGGCAAGCCAAATTATAAAATAGAAAAAAATTTCTTGCAGTAGAGGTATATAATAAAATTATATAAGGATTCTTGCCACTTAACTGCTAATATAGAAATTTAATTTCACAAGCTCACCTGATGATGGAGTAGGGTTCCGAAACCGGTAGTGTGAGCAGGTTGATCCGCATTATGACAAACACAGCGTAGAATTAAATTTCTTATATGACTCCCTTAAATGATACATAAGATTTTGTGACTCCAGAGCGAGTATCGCCACAGACTCATATAATCACTTTTATAAAAAGTAATTAAATTTATAAAAAAAAAATTATTTAATTAAATAAGTGCAGATATTTTCAGGGCTGGTAGATCTCGATAAAACCTTTATTATCTTTACCGTTTTTCAAATAACGAGAGATATTTTACTTTGAAAATGTAAAAAAAATTGCTTAAATTTTGAGAACTACTGGATCTTTCCTGGATATTTTGTCTTCTGTCAAATTTTCAATTTTTGTTTGCGTAAAAAAACCATATACATGTGTCTGGGGTCGAAATGTACTTCTTCTTCTTAAAGTACCTATCCTCTTTGGATATTGGCTATCACATTGGTCCATATTACTTTGTTCACTGCCGTTCTGAACAAAGCTGTTGACGTCATTCCAGTCCATGTTCGTAGAATTCGCAGCCGGGATATTCGTCTGCGTTCCGCTGATCTTCTGCTTTCTATTTTCCCCTGCAGTGTGAGTTGCAGTAGGCGGTGTTTCTCGTTCCGCATGATGTGTCCGAAGTATTCCAGTTTTCTGCGTTTGACATTCCCTCTCTCACTCCAACTCCTTATTGATGCGGTGTAGTACAGTTTCATTTGACACGCGATGCACCCACGAAATCCTAAGAATGCGCCGATAGCACCACATCTCAAATGCTTCCACACGCTTGCATGCTGCGTCGGTAAGAGTCCACGCCTCTGCTCCATCTGCTCCATACAGAAAGGTTGAGATGCACGCAGCATCTCAGGATTCTGATTCTAGTGCGGACGTTGAAGGACAGGTTGCATAGTATATCTGGCATTTTGTTAAATGCCTCTCTCGCGATTTCGATTCGGTGTTTTATTTCGCTATAATGGTCCCAGTCTTTAGTAGGATGCAGCCCAGGTATGCACCCTGACTGTTTCGGCCGCTGGGAGAACGATGTTGTTAGCAGTGAACTGAAAGTTGTTGATGTAGTTCTTGCTAATGATCAACGTTTGAGTCTTCTTGCAGTTCATCTTCATTCCGTATCTGCTGCATGTATTCGCCACACGATCTATAAGCCTTTGGAGACCTTCAGCGGTATCGGCCAACAGAACGGTATCACCTGTATATCTCAAATTGTTTATTATTTCTCCGTTTATTACCAGCCCATCCTCTGTGCCAATGCTATTCAATGTTCCGAGTACACATTGAATAGCAGAGGCGACAATATACAGCCCTGTTGCACTCCCCTCCTAACACTAAACTCATCGAAGTTTCGTTCTCGATTCGAACCACGGCCTTTTGTTGACCATAAGTTTTTGCTATTTATCTCGAAATATACTACCCCTAAAAATATTTGCACTTATTTAAGACTCACTCTGCATAAAACACACAAGATTACACCCTAAGCTTGGGAACATTATATTTTTCGTAATTTCCGAACTCCAAAACTGTAAAAGAATATGTTAGTAATGACATATGTATATTTTGGATGTAAATGTATTTTTTTCTAAATCATTCAAACCTAATAGCGAATTGTATACTTAGTTCTTTAAATATTAAAAACATTTTTTATCGCTTTAAATAATATTTTCTTCTGCAGGGAAGAGTTTTACCCTGACCATAATAGTATCTACTTCTCCACCTCAAGTAGCAACATATAATAAAGCAATCAAGGTTACAGTTGATGGTCCTAGAGAGCCAAGATCCAAAACAAGACAAGCCGGTTTTCATAACTTTCCATTTGCAACAAGACCTTTTCACACTGATCCGTTAACTGGAAGTTTACATTTCAAATTTAGTGGTAAGTAAAAAATAAATTAGATACCTACTTATAAAATGGAGGACATATTCTCCAATTATATTCACACAGGGTGTTTCAAAAAACATGTGCCATCTCTCAAAGGGAGATTCCTCGCGTAAAAATAAGATTTATTTTTTATATCAACATAGGTCCGATTCTGCTTTGTGTTAAAGTCTTAATATTTTTTCAATTTATTATAATTTTCTTTCAAGCACTTAAGTAAAAGTTACTATAAATACGACATATTTTATGGCTAAAAAAGTGTCTATATATTCACCAGCCATGGGTTATCGTTATGCATATGGGTTATCGCTAGAATATTTTTCTAAAAAAGCATGTACGCCACTGACATTTTTTCTCTTGTTAGCGAAATAGTGTTAGTAGTTTAATGCCGATTAAAAGTTGTGTCTTGATATTTTGTAGATTTCGGCCTCTTTGATCAGATAAATTAGGAATTTTAATCTACCTTGATCCAAATCTAATAGCAAGCTTTTAAGTATTATAATATTATTAACTTGCGAAAGTTTTAAATAAGGACCCATTGATTCCTCATCAAAAAATATGGAAAAAAGTTCCTATAAACGTGGGTATGGAAATGCATAGTTTTAGAGTTATAGGATGTTAAATCTTTTTAAAATTAGATTTTTTTAATTTTAAAAACCTTTATTTTTTTCTTTGAAATTGCTGTGAGTAGGACTAGTAAGTAATAATAATTAATATTAATAATATTTAATAATAAAGTAGGTAAAATATATAATTTATTATTTTTATTTTAATTTTATTAATTGTAATTAATAAAATTGTGTTTTATTAATTATTGTAATTAATAAAATCTCATCAAGAAGGCCGAATTTTAAAAAATATCAAGGGATAACTTTTAATTGGCATTAAACGGCCTACACAATTTTGATAACAAAAGAAAAAAGGTCAGTGGCGCACATGTTTCTTTTTAAATATTCTAGTGATAACCATATGCACGTCTCTGATGAATTTATAGACCCTTTTTTAGCATTAAAATATGTCGTATTTATAGTAACTTTTACCCTCAAAATTTCATTCGAAACGCTAAAAGTACTTGGAAGAAAATTATAATAAATCGAAAAAATATTAAGACTTGTAAATATTAAGACAGCTACAGGGTGTATACATCCTGTACCTATGAAACACAGCAGAATCGGACCTATGTTGATATGGAAAATAAATTTTATTTTTACGTGAGGAATCTCCCCACGAGAGATGGCACATGTTTTTTGAAACACCCTGTATATCTGTAATACTTTCACAAGCCAGCAGTGCGGGTAATCAAAGTTTTTTTGTAATTTATAAATGCCGTGTATATGTTTCGTAGTTTGTTGGCTGCTTGCTCCAGTATTACCGAGTCTATTATGAGTCGTTCCTTGCAGCCTTGAGATTTTGTGATACAACCCTTCTGCTCTTCGGAAAGTAATTTATTACCTTTCTTATTTGTTTATAGAAACATTTTGCAACACATACTGTTAAGATATTTTATAGGATGCATAAACAGGTAATGGGTCGGTACTTTGTTAGATCATTTAATTGCTCTGATTTGGACAGTAAATATGTTTACCTCTGCCAAAAAATTCGGGGATAGTTTCTTTTTTTTTTTCAATAAATGTTGTGAAGAACTTACCAATATAAGTGTGTATGCTCTTCAGTCGCTTAACCCAAAAATTGTGGATTCCATTCGGGCTCCCTGCTCTCCAGTTTTGTGTAAGTCTAATTGCTTCAGCAACCAAATCTGATATTATTTTGATTACGTTTCCACGTTACGAATCCAACAGGAATCTGTCTTGTGTTTAACTGGTCGAGACCATATTGATGAACAGTAGTTTTCGATCTCCTCTACCTACCTTCGGTACCTACCTTTATTCAAAAATCTAAATTTAAAAAAACTTTCACCGGTTCCCTATAAACGTCTAACGTACCATGCCCGTGAATCACCCTGTATATTATTTCAATATACTTATTTCTAAATAATTTATTTAATAATTTCTAAATAATTTACATTTATAGAAATATAAATTTATTTAAAAAAATACGCCATTTAGCTATTTGAAATATTAATTATTCTAATATTAACGAGTTTTAACTGACCGACTAAAAAAACGAAAAACTATCTTTTTTGCGGATGTTAATTTGTGGCATATGCAACATTGTCAAAAAATAGAGTTTGGGTTTGGGTACTCTTGTTGTTCAGTAACATTGACCATTTTCTTATTTTAGAAGCTTAAAAAGCCGAAACTTAAATCTATATCATTCTAATAATAAACTACTAAAATTTGAAATATACGGAAGGGATTTTTATTGCAATAATACTACCGTATGATCGAGAAAAAACGGCGTCAGCGATGGCTATGGAATGAAGATCGCTATTATTTTATATATAAATTTATATGGGAAATGCCATCGATGTTCATTTCCCAGCCAACTGGAAGCCGTTTTTTCTCGATCATACGGTATTTCAACAATGTTTCACCAGAGACCAACTACACAGTCTATACATTTTATAAATATAAAATAATAAATCGTAAAGTAGATTGTCGCTTTGCATTTGTAGAATAATTCCTTTCCATTAGTCGATACTGTTGTTTTCTTGATCTTAACTAAAAGATTTTGAAGAGAACCGACAAATTCGACGAATTTATTACAACATAGAAAGTGTATGTTTATTATAATTAAATTTCAGTCTCAATTCTCCAGATTTATATTTTTAGTGTTATATATAGTTTGTTTCAGAATAAAAATAATTCATCTGGGAAATATATTTTTGTTTCAGGTATTGCACATCATTTATCTGCGATATCTAGAAACCCTCACGAGTGGCCGTTACTAGGTACCAGATACAATTGTTCTCCTGCCTCAATAATACCACAATTACGACATCATCCGCCACATTTTCATTCGCCCTTGTTTATACACTCAGATCGGCAAGTGAATACTTCGACAAAAATAGCTAAAGGCAAGTTAATCCTTTCTGGAAATAATAATATCTGAATTTAAAATATAAAACAGAAATATAAAGATACAATATCCATTTATTTTGAATGGATCATTAGTGTCTAATTCATTTGATGTTTCCAAATGATAATAACGCTAGAAGAGTTTTGAAAAAAAAATTGAAAAAGTTGTTTGTTTTTAATTTTACATAGCAGGTACACCAATTTTCAGATATCTAAATAAAAAATATATATTTTTAACGAATAGTGATAAAAATATTCTCTTAATAGAAGCAAAAAACTGATAGTAGGCAGTTTGTCAAATTAATAATTTTTTAAGAAAAATTTAAATATTTTGTAGAAAAAGTGATACCGAATAATTGGTAAATCCCAATTATCGATGTGGCATTATTCCTTAATTTTTTTTTTCTAATTAGTTAATTTAATTTCACATACCAACAAATATTATAGTTTGTAACACTTTTGAACTGTCACTATAATGAATAATAAATAGGTTAAAAAATTTAAATTTCTTTTTATAACTTATAGATCCGTCCATAGTTTCTCTGGGTCCCATATCAATCAACTGTAATACTGCACACAGTACAACATCTCCAAAATGTTCACCAGCCCAACTTGAGTTGTTAACTACAGCAGATGGTTCTAAATCATCAAACGAAGACGACATATCAGTTAGTGCATCACCAACACCTATACAAGCTCCTACATCATTTCCTGATGTACCTACATCAGAGTATACTAGTCAACAGCATTTCCTTAATAACGCGTTGGCGGCAAGTCTGTTTTTAAGCACACCACTTTTACCCCCACCGAGCCAGTGGTTTTATTCCCAGCTTTATTCGAACGAGTGGAACTGGTTAAATACACCCCATTCTGGTTTATTATCATCGCCTATTGAAGAAAGTAGTTCACAATACCCAGATAGTTCAAGTGAAAACATCGATGTGTTACATATTAATGAAGAAAAATGCACAGAAAACAGTTCCGACGATTGTCTTCATTCAACACAGAAAACCGGTAAAAAAAGTTCACAAGAAGATGGAAACCTAAATTATAAATTTGACCGACAAACTACTATGCCTTTAGCGAAACAGATTGAAGAATTAAGTTCTACAAAGAAGGAAAGCAATAAAAGTATTAGGGTTAGCTATACTAAAGGCTCTGATGTGTGGAGACCCTATTGATTCAATTGATATAAGAGTAATTTAATGTATTATAACATTAATGTAATGTAATTTAATATTATTAAAGTAACATTTCATTAACTTAGGCTGTATATATATATAAATGTTTAATTTATATTGATATAGGTAACACCTTAAATTATATATATAAAAATGTTAGAATGTTTATATTTGTTACATGATATCTGAATGTAATATATATTTACAATATATTGTGAATGATGCACATATTGTCATAAGTAAGATAACAATTCTTAGGTGTTTTATTTGTTAATTTTACCTCATTTGAACAAAGTTTTACTTGGCTTATTTTAGAGACTTTTTTCGAAATTAAACTAAACGAACAATGCAACAGTTATTTCCGTTAAAAAGTATTTGTTAGAATAAGATATAACTATTTTAAGTACTGTACTTTTGTTTAAATATTTTAATATATACGTTGTGATTTTGTAATCACAACCAGATCTTAACAATGTATGTGCAACAATTTTGTAATTGTTGCGTATACATATATATTGTTAAGGACTGTAATTAATTGTTGCATCGGCAAAATATATTGTTTCGGACACGATTAAACAGTTATCAATTTATTACACAACTAAAACTAAAATACTTACACCATTAAATTATATCACAACAACACAATAATTGCAACTACTTTAGCACGATTTCCCCGTGTTTACCATTAATTAATTTAATAATATACTTCTATAAAACACGATAATTTTCGACGCGCCTTCTCTGGATCTTCTTTATGATTAGTTAATGATAAACGTGTAACGGCAGATTTCTATAAGAGTTAATTAGTTAATAGTTCTTATAGAAATTGTCTACCGTTACATATCGTCGCTCAAAAACTGTAGAAACTCCTGTGCTACATGCATGCTGCGCATCATACTGTGGTAGTTTTTCAAAGAAATCAATTTCAATAGTTCTATTCCTCTAATAGTTTAAAGTTTCCTCTTTCATTCTTAGGTAGTTAAACCGATCCTCTTTTTCAACATTTTAATCAGTAAGTAAATTGATATGGAAATAATTATTTCCTTTAAGTAGCAAATCTTGGGTGCATTTGTTTTTGGTAACTTACGGTTGCTTATCTACTTTTTCTTTATTTCACAAGCAAGCAAAATGCAAGAAAGAACTTATCTCGGGAGGCAACTTTCACTTAGAAAAAATAGTGCTGAAATAGTGCGCTACTTCTGAGTGGCGCGGTTGTAGATAAAAAATCGGTACTATAAAATCGCATGTGTTTGACAAAGTGAAGTACAGGTTAAACTGCGCAAACTGGCCTGCACTGTCCGCCTCTGTTAAATAGCTGAGCGTCTGTAAGGGCTCTAAAAGTATTTGCAGAATTTATATAAGGTACTACAAATTCGGGGTACGAGCAGCATTGGTATCTCGGTAACCGTAATAGATACGAACATTGCTAAATTGAGGCAAAGAAATGTTTTAATTATATTAATTTATTATTAATAACTTAATAATTTCAAGGATTGCTTGGAATTTTAAGTTATTTCGAAAAAAAAACGGATTTTTTTGAAAATAAATTTTATTTTTTTCTGCCGTTACTTTTTAGAAAATCCAAAAACTAATTGCACATCATCATAGCCAGTTTATCACGGCTACTTGATAGTATATTTAGATTTTCAAATTAGCTGATAATATATGCGATACATAGGCCAACTTATTTTTTTTTAAATACGGACCTGCATTTTTTATTTCAGGGTTTGAAAAAATTCGGTCTCCAGAGTACAATGGTATGCCACACTTATTTTTTTTTTGTTTCGGGCATATAAACACAACTTATTTAAAATAATTTTAAGTCTGTTTTTTAAATGTTTAATCTATTGATCGTTAAAATATTGATGACCTTTAAATTTTAAAAATGACCTAGGGTAAAACATTGAATACGGAAAATTAAATACAATAAAGTAATAAAAATAATATGAAATGAATAATAGAATTCTGCGATCAATGTGTGGGCAGCACCTGTAGTTCTAAATACATTCGGAGTTCTAAAATGGTCACAAACCGACCTGGAATCACTCGATAGGAAAGTCAGAACATCAATGACAAGGCACCGAATGCACCACCCCCATGCTTCAACCATTAGACTCTACATGCCAAGGGACAAAGGTGGAAGAGGAATTATTAGTCTCATTGCTATGCATGTAAAGCACATCAGAAGTCTGCAGCATTACTTTGACCAATCAAATGACCCTCTCCTTTCAGCTATTAAGACCGCCGACAGGAATTTCACACCTTTAAATTTAGCAGGTCAAAGATTACCTGTAGGTACTAGGGGTGCTGAGGAACTAACAGAAGAGTGAAAAGGGAAAGCCTTGCACGGAAATTATCCATCCAACTTATATAACCCCGACGTTGACCAAAATCTGTCATTACGTTTTCTCAAAGATGGAGAGATCAGAGCTGAGACCGAAGTATTTATTACAGCTATACAAGACCAGCATATACCAACTAAAAATTTCCTAAAAATAATAGCTAAAAAGGACTTACCTAATGACAGATGTCGACTATACAATGCCTTTCCGGAAATAATTCAACACATCTGCTCTGGATGTACCTATCTTGCACCGCGGCATTATCTGGACAGGCACAACCGAGTGGCTGGTATTCTACACCAAGAAATCTGCAAAAAAGAAAATATTTTAAATTAAATTACACCGTACTACCGATACTTATAGAAAAAATAGTAGAAAACGGAAAAGTATACCGGGATACTGACATCATCACAGATCGTACTGTGCAGCATAATAGACCTGATATTATAGTAGTCTTCTATAAAAAACAAAAACATGCTTACCTGCTGGATGGACATCACAATACCACTAGAGGAAAATATTAAAAATGCAAGAAAAGAGAAAATCACAAAATATGAAGCACTGGCACAAGAACTAAAAGCCATATAAAACTTGAGCCAAGACTTTTATATTACCGATAATACTTACCTGTAACGGCCTAGTAGACGTAAACCGTGTTCAAAGCCTTAAGAAACTCCAACTTCACAACCCGGAAAGAATCCAGAAGTCCACAATTCTTTCTACCTGTTCTATCGTTCGTACTGTGTTGAACCGCGATTAGGTCGTTGATAAGAATTATCCCGACTTAGTCGCTAAAACCGGCTTTAAGTTAGGTTAGGCTGGGTGAGAGGAAGAAAGAAAAAGCAAGAAGCAAGCAGTATTAGCAGAAATACAAGACCTAGAATAGGAACAGAATTACAACGTAAATGAAATTCCAGAGACCTCTGACAACACACCTCAATCTCGTGAATGGGCATCTTAAACATAGTAACCGAAAAAATTGGACGCGGATATTTAAGGAGTACCGTATGAAATATGGTTGTGTTGACTTCTTAAGTCGGTGAAGGCTTCCTAAAATTAAATATAATGATCAAACTAAGTCAACTGTCGCCATCATGAATAGAACATTAAGTCAATACTTACCGCAAAGTTTATCTCTTCAGGACACACGTGATCTAATTTAATTGAGGATAGGAGAGTAATCATCAAATTATAAACCTCAAATACCACCTTGGAAGAGAAGACTGGAAAATAAAATAAAAGGATATTAGAGTAACTATTTGAGTACTACATACATACCTGACAAATTCAGGGGCGGCTCGTAGCACTGGAAGATGGTGAGGCACATTAGAAGAGAATTTTTATTAGTATTGTTGCGGACCGGTGTGGACTCGACCTAACCTCACAATATGGCCCGCCCTCGGATGACCTTAACATCGCATAGACACCGCAATGATTCATTCGTTCGAGAAGAATCGAGTCCCACTGGAATGGACTAGTACATACGAGAACATTCGAAAAACCTTCTCTACGCAACTAACGATCTATGGACTATTCTAGAGTTCTTTACCTGTCGGTATAAAAGCCGGCGGCTGTGGCCTACAGGGGGCAGTTATAAATAAACAGTACAGTTGACGCGCTAAAGTTCAAAATAAATTCTTAGTTATAAATCGTTTGTAAATAGTTCTATAAGTCTTTTATCGTTATTGTTTTTGTTAATTAGTGTTAAATAAATAGTGTTTAAATAAATTGTGACTTTCTATCCACACGAAACCGACGAAAAACGTAACAATTGGTGTCAAGTGTGGCATGTGTGACCAGGAAAATAAAAAGACAGACAATGGCTCCGAAAAAATTGTTGAAAGACTTGAAAGTGTCGGAATTAAAATGTATACTGGAAGAGAGTGCGAGACAGATGGAAAGAAAAGCATTTTGCAAGCTAGACTGAGAGACGTTTTGGTGGAGGAAGGTGAGGATCCTGACACATTTTGCTTTGAGTTGGAAGGTGACCTTGACTCGTCCTTACAAAAATTAGACGACAACTTGAACAATTTGAATAGTAAAATAATTGACTTGGAAGTTAATTTAGAAGAGAAAATCAGTGATAAAATTAATATTTTAGAAGATAAGATCACAGAAAATTCTAAAGACATACAGGGCAGCTTTAATAATAAAATACTTAATTTAGAAGAAACGATAACATAAAATTCCAGGGAATTAGAAGAAAAGATTATAGAGAATTCTACGGAGCTACAAGACAAAATAACACAAATTGAGGACGATGTAAATAAAAAAATCGAAATTTTAAAACAAGAAATAGCAAAGGCAAATTCACCAAAATGTCAAGAAACATCGGAGGCACCGAAACTAGTCGAAAATAAGTATATCTCAAAGTCAGTTATTAAGCCTCCACAGTTTGACGGAAAAACCGCTTGGACCAATTATTTTGGCCAGTTTGAGGCCGCTGCGAGAGCGAACGGATGGACAATCGCTGAAAAGGCTACCGCTTTGACTGTCGCACTGCGAGGAGATGCGACTGATATCCTGCATTGTCACCATCGGAACAGGGAGATTATCAGCAATTGGTACGACATTTAGAAATGAGGTACGGCCAAGCTCATTTGGAACATGTCTATCATTCCCAGCTAAAAAATCGCATTCAAAAGTCAAATGAGTCTCTGCAGGAGT